TTTGTAAGAATAAAGAACATCAGTACAAATTTAAACTGATTAATGTTTACGTACTTCCATCACCTGAAATAAAATATAATTTTTGTTATAACTTATAAAGTAGTCATAATATTGTTCTGCTATTAGATCATTGATTGAACTAAGAATTATAAGCACATGGTTTAAATATAATATTAACAATAGAGTATGAAATCTAGAGCATTCGAATTTAAGATTATCTAACATTCTAACATGTTGTATAAAATAAAATTATCATTGAACATAAAATCAACTTACAGATATAAGCTAAAATGAAATTAAAAAGTTATGATTTATTAAAGTATGATTATAAAATATTGATACAATGTAATGATTAAGAGAAAGTCTGCTTAATATGTAATGTATTTTTCAGACCAATGTGCAATATAGCTAAGACGCTTTATCTTAAATGGTTTTTTTTGTCGTAATTGAGTAATCTTCGAATATAATTATCTAAAACAAAACTTAAAGATGATAATATTTTTGAGGCTTTGCATTTCGATTTTTTTTTAAATTTAGTTGATATTTAAATTGTTTGAGATAATATTTAAGAAAATCAATATATTACACACTCAAAAATATTATACTCAATCATTTTTGAAATTTAAGTTTTTACTCTTAAGATTACTAAAAACGTAAAAAAAAATATTCCTTAGTAATGGATTTTGCTTATTTTATGATTGGATCAGAGAGAGTTTGTGTTCTACAAACAGTGCTCAGAGATTTTCTTAAGATTCTTGCCCTTCAGTATTTATTAAGGGGCAATATTTGGGCACTATGCAATTCTGTTGATGTCGCTCATGACATTTGTGTTGGTAGTCAATGATAAATAGTGTGAGAGTTATTGTATGCGGGTTTAAGGCTATCTATGCGCTCTTGTCATGGCAACGGCTTCGCCGACCAAAAAGAAAAGGATTGATTTTAGGCCCAAAACGCCCATACCGTAAAAACTTTCACACACAGTAGTTTGGTCGGATTCGATTAATTTGTGTATTCATTTTTTTTGTTGGAAGATAATTTTCAAAATAAATAGGTGTAACGAAAGCTTGTGAAAATTGGTCGTATTTGGAATCCATCGGAAAATCCATGTCCAATGCACCCTGTTAGGAGTTTTTTTATTTCATAAAAAGTCATACAAATCGGATCACTCTAAGAGGCGTGAAAGTATTTCCTAAAAAGCTTGTTTTTGCTCAAAAAGACAGGTTTCGAAGGTCTAGGTATTAATTTGATAAGTTCTCAATACAATAACAATATTTTCGGTAAAAGACTTTTAATTATAATAGTGTTTAGTGGAAATAAAAAACAAATTTTAATTTGATCTTAATTCGTACTGTAACTTCTTACAGAAAAAAATAATTCTTGAGCTATAAAGAAACTATTAAAAAATTTTAATTATAAATGAAATAAAAATGTTTCTTACGGTAGTCTGAAAAATAAGAAAAAATATTAGTAGTACATAATAGTATAAATAATATTCCTATGAAGAAAAAAGTACTGTCAAATTGTCATAGTGTGCAAATTGTTGTAATAGATTTATTTTGAAGTTAGTTATCTGTAATCTGTTATATAAAACAACAATAATATCTACCATTATGCTCAATACATTTTAATATATAGTATGGCAGTGTACTTTTAAATCCTTCGATTATTTAGCATTTGGTGGGCTAGGGACGAAAAGATGTGCTAACGAAAAAGTATAAAACTCATTAGGAAAGTTTTTCAAAACTTGTTTTACTGGAACTCCATTATTTTTATTCATAAACTTTGATTATTTAAAAATGATCGTTAAGATTGTCGAAAAAAAAATATATTGCCTTATACAAAAAAATCACACTCCAGATAGGTAACGCCAATATTTTATCGCCGCGATGGGTGGGAGTGGAAGGAAGAAGGGCAAATATTAAAATTGTCATATTTCGTTTATGCAGAAAAGGGACATACGAAAATAAATAATAATATTATAACTACTTACTTCATATACTCGTGTGTATTTAAAACATTTTATATTTAAAAACTTTACCTACTTATTTATAATACTGAAATAAACACAAATACTTCGATCCTTAATAATTTTAATAGGACAACCGTATTGTTGTTACTGGTTTCTTGGTAGCCTTTTAGTTTGTGTGTTCACCGTATTATACAAATATCATTATTTATGTTAATAAACTATTTTATTTATCGGCTTTTGGTTCCTAGCACGCCATTTTTGTTAGTACACACAAATAAAATTATAATACTAGTTATTTAGTCAAAGTAATTATTAATTACATACGTACTTATACGCACTAAAAAAAATATTTTAATGTTATTGGTACTAAAAAGTTTTAAAATATAATAACGTATATAGTTTATCATAATCTAGCTGTCCCACCCGACGTTGAACTTGCCAAATAGAGGGCCTTTGAGACTCTCTGACTATATAAGGATTGAGGTTCTGAGTGTGTATGTAATGACTATGTGAACGGTATATTAATATCACTGGGCATGTACCAGTTGCCCCCAAAAGTACCTTTTTTATACCAAATCCCCCCAAACTACCTAGAGGAAAACGTACCATTTGCTCTCACATGTTAATATATACACAAATACAAATGCGTTCCACATCTTCTCTTCCAGACACACTATTGTCTCGAAATACCAATTTTTGGAATTAAACAAAATTATTTAGTGTAAAGGTTAATAGGACCGTCCACATTTTGTATTAATCAATATTTTATTTGAATAGGTATCTGGTGTTATCGTCTAACGTTAACCGTTCGTTTTATAACCGGTAGATGTCACTAAAGTTACCACAAAATCAAAATGATTTGCCACGAACTACGGACTGAAGTCGCTATTTTAATAATTATATAAATAACATTTGTACAAACTCACTCTAAAAAAAAATAACTGTTGTCTCCTCCTCAAGCCTAGGTTTTGGGAGACAATAGTTGATAAACTTTTTTACAATTTATTTGTATAATGTATCTTCAAATTCAATAAATTAGTATTTGAATGTATTCAAACGGATAAAATATAGGCATTCTATATTTGTACGAAAATTGTATTTTACTTACATCAAATGAGAGTAAAACGTATGCTGGTAGCCACAGAAAAACCACGGTGAACGACTAAGTTTTCACCTCAATGACAACAACTGTTACAAGTTGTAATTTACAACGGTCCATATCCATATCTTGAGCACAAGCGCTCTCGCCAACTGGTTTCGACGAACATTGTCACCAAGCAGTAGCTTGTTAATTCATATATTGCTGAGTTACTAATGATAATTTAAGTATTTGAACCTAATTATAATCTAATATGCTACTCTAAAATATTAAATAGCAAAACTTCATTTAAATATGTAGATATTTTAACTTATGCAAACTTAAAACGGGATGTTCGTATTAATCCTTACATCTTAGTAATATATAAATGCAAAAATAACTGTGTGTCTGTTGGGCTTTCACTCCTAAGCCGCTGAACCGATTTTTATGAAATTTGGTAGAGAGATACATTATACCTTAGGAAGAGACATGGCTACCTGTTAAAGTCTTTAACTTCATAATCGGTTCAGTGGTTTACGTGGGAAGTCCTGACAGGCAGTCAGAGTTACTAAATAATTTTTTATAAATAAAAGTACAAATATGCATGTTGACTGAAATACATCAAAAGTAATCCGAGTATCGTTGGAGGGACAGTGGTAATTTTAGCTGATGAATTTAGATGGACCCTGCCGCTATGAATTAAATGCCTGTTCGAAATCGTCTGTATTATGTGTATATTTAAAATTTTTGTTTCTGACTACAAAATATATGTGAAAACAACCACACAATGATACAATGATGCACAGTCAGAGCAATATGCGACTGCTCTTCTACTAACCATCTAAAGAAATGGTATGGCAACAGACAGTAACGGCATAATAATTACAATGAGATAATAATTCTGTCAAATGTTGGATAACACAGATGATCTAAAAACATAATGTCTATACCGATCTGCCAATAAATATTGCGAACAAAGAATGGTTGTACAAGAGAGGAGTTTGAGCATCGACAAATGAGACACTAGTGAAGATAAACGAACAAATTATGTCAAACGCGGAGAGGGATGTTGTCGACTGTCTCTAGGTAGACAATCTTGCGGACACTGAACAAGAAACGTCGTTCTCTACAGAATTATCAGGAGTGTATTCTCATAAGTCGAGACTGTAATTTGATTTTCTTAATGAGTAATCTTAAAGCACCAAGACTATGTAATGGTGCATGGTTACAAATTAATCACTTGAAACGCAATATTAAATGAAAGGTTTTAATTCTCCGTATTCTAATAATTCCAACCGATTTGTCATTGCGGTTTAAAAGAGTGCAGTTTCCTCTAGAATCAGCATTTACAATGGCAATATAAAATGCTCTAATACTTTTGAGCTCTACCCGATACCCCGATTATACTTTAAGTAGAAGGATGGTGTTAATTTATAAAAACTCTGTTTTTATTCAATTCTTGTTTTTGTCAACTATGTGTGGCTTATTTACACATTGAAAAATGTATATGTTTTAGCAGAAGACAAAAAACGTAACTTATAAAAATGTGTTGAAATAAGATGTTAACAATGAATCACAACAATTTGCAGTTAGTTTGTATTTGTGTTATTTGTAAGATTAGTACATAATAATAAATGTATAAATAATGCATTCAAACATTATTTACACATTTTACAAATCGCATACACAAATTTGAAATTAAAAACTTAAAAAATAAACGTACGCAGTAATTCAATCATTTGTTTTCTATTGATTTTTCAATTCGGCGAAGAACACACTACACTCAAGCATCAAATAACTTAAAATATTTCTCTACTCAAATCCATTTTAAATATGCCTGATAATTTACTTCTGAATTTCAAAGACCACTATGATAAAGTGACCACTATGATTATGAACAATAATCCAGAATATTATGTAGCACCTACTGTTTAACATTTAAAAATCATATAATTCTTGAGAAAAATATAAACAATTAAATTTTTATTTTGATAATAAAGCAGATATTTATGAACCATCACAAATTAAGTTATATGCAACACACTTCAGGGACGCTTAAATCCAACAACGAAATTTTGGCAACCAAATATTTCATTTTCTCGTAACTGATACATTTTAAATTTGTATGTTCCATAAAAAAATGTTTTTGGAAAATTAGCTTTTTCAAATAATGAAGCATCCATACCCGGAGATATATAAACACCCTGAAAGCAAAACAACAAATATAAATAGTAGAATACAAATAAATTATAATTTTTCATGGTTTTTAAAATTGATTTGTTCATTTTAATTCTTCTTCTTCGTTATCTTTGGCATTCGGTCACTAGCCTATGAGATAATTCAATATCGACCTACATTTTACATAGGTCTATGTTTCACTCATCGTTTTCTTAACTCATACCAGATATATTCGTGTTATTTTCATTTCTGTGTATCCATCTCTTCATCTATCTTCATCTTCCACTCTATATTCCTACATCTCATTTTCATTATTTTTTTAAATTTCATATCATAAATTAAATAATATTCATACTGAAAATCATGCTGAAAGGCACTGGAGGTACTTTATAAAAATAATCTATATTGAATTAAATTTGATAGTTCCGCTTAAATCATTATACAGCTTGTCTGATATATTTTGGTTTATTCCGTAGTGAACTACATACTTACTACAAATATTAGAGGTCAGGTCGAATAAAATGTAAATATATTATTATATAGTTATAATTTTTCCTATACTTAAGACCACTGCCTTTCTGTTATAATATACTAAAATAAATATTATTTTGTCTTATGCTATATATTTAGTTGTGTATAGTTTAACCGAATCGGTAAAATACTTCAAAAAACATTTAAATTTGTATGAATATAATAATAATTACTAAATAAATAAAATATTGCAATGTAAAAAAATATATGTGTTTACCGGAAGTAAAGGACAATCGACTTTTGTTATGCCATAACCATTCGCAATTGCATTCCATGCTTTTCCCAATAATTTTTTTAACGTTGAGCATGCCTTTGGTGATTTATGCATGAATACGTTTTCTCTCCAAATTCCATATGAATCCTTGAAAGCCATTTTTATTTCTAACTACAGAAAAAATACATTCGTTAATTGATCTCTGGTGGGGATTAGCAAAACTCAACACTAACGTGTTTTGAAAAACAAACAAATAATACTTCGGATTGAAAAAACGCACCACAGTCCACAGATTTATAAGTGTGATTTTTACACAAATTTTACAATTTCACACCTACTGCACACATAAATAGTTTGTACTTAATATTGTGTATAGGAACCCGTCATATTATGATATAGATAAATATTGGTTTGAATATTTTATAATATTTTGTAATGTGTATGTAATATTATGATGTTTTTGATAATGACTTAAGCCATGCACTTAATATGATATAACAATCTATGATGACGGCGTTCGGAAAACAAAGTGTAGGTCAATATTCTTATAAATAAAAATATGATACATTTATACAAATTGACAAAACTTTTTTAATCTATTCTGTTTCATTATTTTGGTAATTATATGTCTAATAATAAAACAATTTACTATAAAGTTATACGTGATAATATTATTATACACTGTCTATATCAAATACGCATATTATAATACATTGCCAATGTATTTTAATCAAATAATTATATTTTATACATTTTACAGTAATGTTGTATTTCAGTTTAAAAAAGAAAAATATTTCATACATTTTCCTGACAAAAACTCCTCAAAACACGTCATCATAGTAAAATGTCGTCTAATCAATCTAACTACTCGTACTTACGAAGAAAGTGTCATCAAAAGGTATTTCGAGAGTTGTATTTCCATAGATGAATGTTGAATTGGCCCTGTGACGTAAATACATGTTATGCTGTATTTTATTATTTTGAGTAGGATTGCAGTTGGAAACCTGTTTGATGACCAATCGGTAAGGACCCTAAACGGAAATATCAAATGCATAATATCGTTAATATCTTCTTTTTGCTACAATAAGTATGTAAGTATGTTTGTAGTAGTAATAGACCGTTTTTTAATATGTAACAATATTATTTTAATACTTTTCTATGGGTATATATAACTATGCATTGATACAATATATTTTGTTGAAATTAGAACATATTTTATAAGCGCCCGATACTTAACTGTAAATAATACACAAAATTAATACGGTAGGTTTGCAACAAACATCAATATTAGTCAGTTAATTTTTAATATTGTAATATGTTATAGACATTTCAGTTATGAGAGGGGGTTTACTTTTTAAATTTATGTAAGTACCTATTTTATATTATTATTATGTTCTTTTTGTGATTAATACAGAACTTAATGTCACACGTCATGTGAAAACATTTAAATAGAATAGAATAACTAAGCTTCTGAATCATAATATATCATTATTCATTACTTTTAACTATTGTCTCCATTATACAATAATAACATCTCATGTGTAAGTGAACAAAATCTTGTAGGTTTGAAATTTCAAGTACTAGTTGTTATTAAAAGTGAAGGTTTTACAAAATAATTTACACATTTTGTTGGTTTTGATTTTTGTTAATTTTATATACCTAACTTTAAAAACTTCAACTGGTAAATTATTCGTCCAAAACTAGATTTTTATAAATTGTTAAATAGGCATTTCAAAAAATATTCCGCTTCGTATTAAGAAATTAAAAATGGATGTTTTCAATAAAAAACTTAAAATTAAAAAAAAACGATAACGATAAAAAATAGTAAAAAGATATTAATTTAACGACTTACATTGACGTTAAATTAATAAGCCGGTGAAATTTAAAAATTTTAATGATTTTGACTTACCGCTGGAGAACCGGAAAACAGTTTTAAATCATCAGACGATCCTGAACTAATTAAAAATATCAATTTTATTAACATAAAAATAATATTATGCTTCATGGTTTTAATATTTTGCTTTTTTGTTGGTTCCGATGAGTGCCTATATGATATACAAACAGATACTATTCGACGTGTAACACGGAGTTTCAAGAAAACAAGTTACCTACTAAATATTATTTTTCGAATAATACTAAAACGTTGTTTAATCTTTACCAGAGTTTTTCGTGTCATTGTTTGCATTGTAATATTCCGAATATTCTAAATATAAATACGCTTATGTAAGGGAATATTAATGAATTTGTTCTTGATATTATAAAACCTTCATAAATATCAGCCATCATCAAGATAACATTGAATACTACACGGATATAATATAGTAAATGTAATTAGTTATTTGTTATTATATTATCAATAAATTGGCACCAAAATATGTGCAGTATCACTGTACAATATATCGAACAATAGGCACGTATTTTACTATAGATTTCATCTTTAAGATGTTTGATGGAATAAATAGATATTATTATTACTAATATTTTCGGAATGGTTTATAGTTTGAAAATTATTTCCCGGAGATTGAAGATTCGCATTCGATATCCATTCATCGGCAACAACCGTACTCAGGGCCTGAATTAAAATTTATGGAAACGGTAAAATGTACAATTTTGTTCCCCAAATTGTCCATCTCTATTGTATTCAATGCTAAAGTCAAATATATGCATAATACTCGTATACTTTTGAATTAAAGTTTAATGTAAATATATATATAGGTACATATATTTTATATGAGTAGTTGGAAAATAAAATAATATTGTACTGTTAAAAATATGATTATTAAATATAAAAGAACAATTTATGCTTTCAATGCGTCTAATATTAATGTTTGAAATTTATTCAAATAAGCATAAGTGACACCCTCCAAAAGTTATTACGTATCTGTGTCTTCTATACAATTTACTTGAAATTTCTCATGATTTTTTTTTTTAAATGTTCCAATTATTTGAGTTAAAAGTTAAAATTAATTTACAGCTACGAAACTCACAGTTGATTTTGTGTTCATAAATTTATAATTGTTGTATACCTGAACATCATCGTACAAAAGCACACAACTGTGAGAATTATTACAGTTATTGTGTATTAATTTCATTGTCTTTTTTGTTTAAATTTTGTGCTGAAGACCTTCAATGTAATATTATTCGGACAAAATAATAATACAAATTATAGATATTATATTGAAAATAGATTGCATAGAAAATAAACAATGTTACGTGTGTGCCACATCTTCTCTTCCGGACACACTATTGTCTCGTTTCACGTAATTGCATACGAAAAACCAATTTTTGGCATTACACAAATGTATTTAGTGTAGAGATTAATTGGCCTGTCCACATTGTGTAATATAATACTTTATAGTTATCACTTAAAGCAATTGAGTGATAATTAAATTTTGATACGATTTTTAAAAATATGCATTCAATTGTGTTCATATAACTTATTACATGATATTACAATTATTTAGGTTGTATTAAAATATTTTATTCGAATAAGTAACTGGTGTTTTCTTCTAACGTTAAAAGTTGGTTTTAATACCGGTAGATGTCACTGGAGATATCACAACACTAAAATGATTTGCCATGAACTACTAAAGACAGTAGTAGTTATTTTAATAATATTATGTGAACAATATTTGAAAAACTCACCCTAAAAAAACAACTGTTGTCTCCTTCTCGAGTTTAGATTTTTGGAGACAATCATTTATAAGCTTATTTACAATTTATTTGTAGAACTAATTCTTTAAATGCAATAAATTATTATTTAAATGTATTCAAACCGACACAATATAGGTATTCTACATTTATACGAAAATTGTATTTTATTTACATAAAATAAGAGTCCGATAGCCTTAGACGATACATGCGTGTGCATTTGCATTCGTCACATTAATCTACAATGTTTTGTTTAAGCATAGCTTACAATAGTTATTAGAAACGGTGTGTATTAATTGACCCAATTATAATTTATAATATCAGGAAGGAAACATTTAGTATCTACTTTGGGTTTTGGCACATTAATAGTTTAACACCAGTAGAGAAATATAAGTCCGGGTGGTGTGGCCAAAGTCAAAAATCTCTGATAACACTTCACATTGTTTTATTTTTTAAAAGTGATAGAACAAATTGTTCTTAACTAAAATATCTTATGTATATCCGGGGGAGGGGGTGACGATCATATTTAATATGATTCAATTTATTTTCTTACCGTCCTGTTTTGTTACCCATGTCAGTCAACGATATTTTGTACATGAGTAATGTATATGGGTAGACTAAACACTAACCAAACACCCTCTGTCCCACAAGTAATATAATATCAACTAGGTATCTATCAATCCAATTATAAACGTATATGAATTCAATATAATTTATAATTAAAAATGATATTATGTCAACAACTAATTTCAAACAAATCGTATAATGAACTAAATTGAAACAATATTATATAATAATATTACGGAACATTAATTACCATCGTTGCGTCACACCGTATTATATTCTTTACTTGCTGCCTGATATTTTGTTTTATTTTCGATCAATAGCGTTTTGATAGGCAAAACGAACATCAAGAAGGATTTAATCATGAATCAGTTCAAGTGCACATAGAAATGATAGATCCCAAGAATGTCATTAATATTTTAACAATTTTCAACAAGGTGGAGTTCACATTTTTTTTTTTTTTATAAACAATACAATTTGATACGTAACAAAAAGTTTTGTTCTGTGCGGAAAGTTTCCAAGTGCAAAAATAGAATCTAATACAATTTGGGAGTTCTCAACGATTGTTCAACAATCTACAAACAAATTTTTCGGATAAATTTAAAAGTTTAATGTTAGGGTTGACGGTTGAGATACAAACTTTATAAGGGTTCTTTAATCATGATAATTGAATGAATAAGCATAATGATATTAAGTCCAATATAGCCATATGGCGTCCGTTTCCTTTAATGTTCTATTCATGGCACAAAATATTATCATCATAAAATATCGTATTCTTAAATGGATCCTTTTTGGAATCGATTACTGCAGCAGCATCGCGCCAGGAGCAACAGGTCTGTACTAATTTCCGAAAAAATCTATTTTTTTTCTATTGCCTATAATATTCACGCATTCACGACTTAGTTGGTGACGCACATGAGAGGCATATCACGATGTGACACAATCTTATAATATATTTTGTCTCAATCCGAAAAATCTTCAAATGTCATAAAATGGCATTCACTGTAAGTGTGACCTTCTATCCGTCAATTGTTGTGACCTACTCGTAATGAACACAAAATAATAATCTATTACAATTTTATTTTTTAAGTTTATAATTTAAGTTTTTAGTTTATAAACATTATTTTTTCCGGATGGGCCTGTCGGCTTGACATGCCACCCTCATGTGTACACCACACTGGTGTTATTTCACAAAGTTCATTGACTTAAAAACTTGTTTTGAATACGATTTTTCTCACTGCATGATTTGTATATTATTTTATTTAGCTCTACATATCTCAGAATTTCCGCATCATCACCAGCACCAATCCATCCTTTTTCATTTTGTATTTATGATATCACCATAGTATGGTGAATGAACCGAATAAAAAACCATGCACCGTTTGTTCTTACTTTAAAAAAAAAGGTTTATAGGTAGGCATTCTCTTAAGATATTTTTGGTAGTCTTACCCATGACACAATAATTATAGGTACGTAGGCAATATATAAGTTCACAACACACTCTGCTCAAGCATTTCTACCGGCGGCGTTGGACTCTTTTCATTGGACTAAATACGAGTATAGTTAAAATATATGAGATAACAATAACAATTGATAACAGGCGAACCTGATCAAATACAACTCAATATTTTGATATACATGTTCGGGATAAGTCAATAGTTCTGTAGCCTTTACTGCCTATTATAAGACTTTAGTGCATGCGCAGTAGAGGCCATATAACTGGTAACTCGTTGCTTACGTGTTTATTATTGATATTATTTGTAATCTATAGGCCATGACTCTATTCACTGTATATTACCTAAGAGGCGAATGACATAAGTCATTTTTTGCACATAAAAATGTTTCAGACATACCTATTTATTTTATCATGGTTTTACCAATAGTTTAGATTTTTCGCAAGTCTTTTGATAACATGAACTGTGATCTTTAGTATTAATGAAAATATTACATTTATAAATCTCATTTAAAAATGAATATTTATTTAAAAAAAATATTTTTAATCACAAAAACAATCACATTTTTTAAAAACTACCCAACACAAACTTTTATAAAAAAAAACTCAAAATGTAATTTTTATTAAAAACAGCAAGAAAATGTTTCTTTTTAAAGTCTTGCTATAAATACATTAAAAAATATATTGCGTATGCAGTACGCCAGTACATATCATTATGACATATTCACCTTGTCAGCGTTATGGTGCATTTAAAAGTAATGTCAATGCTAAAATCAATTCGATTTAGGAATTTAAAATGTCATAATTCGATCACCAAATAAGTGTCTTGTCGTTAATTATTTGTTATTTCCAAGACACCGAAGTTGTTTTAAATTATTGTTTGTTTTTTATTTATCGTAATGTATTTGTAAGACGATCTATATTTTAAATTTATTTTTCTGAATCAGAATATATTTCGGTGTACTCTGGTATAAACACATTTTGGGCTAATAGCTTAAGAGTTATCAATACTTAGAGTTTAGAAGTTTAAATCAACTTGAAGTTAATACATTATATGCATTAAAAATAATTTATTAAATTAAAAGTTCTTTTCAAAAATAAGTTTAGAGTTGATAACTTAGTTGAAATGAGCTTGACGGTTGAACTTGATTTTAGTTTTTAACTTGTTAATGTCTATCTTTGAATATAATGACCGTGGCATACAATACCATAGTACCTATTCAGTAAATAATAATACTACACTGCGTACACTCTGGTCCGGTAGATTAGAAAAAAAATCTTAAACTTGAATAACCCGAAAATTATTCGAAATAAATAAACACACATATAAACAGTTAAAATTATCGTAAACAACTCTCCGCAATTCGATTATTCACTCGTCGACACTATATAATATTATGAAATAAAACAAAATTTAAAATTGTATAACAGCGCTCGTGGTTTGTCAATGACGATGAGTTTAGTCGAATACGAAGCATATCAAAATAATTGATTTTAAGTCG